GCCCGCCCGGGCCCGGGGGGGGGGAGGGCACCGCCGGCCTTGATGGCGGGGCCAGCCTCCGAAAACACGGGCCCCGGGGCTGCGCGCTGCCGCCCGCCCGGCCGCCGCCGGCCCTCGACCTTGAGGGCTGTGGAGAAGCCGCTGGAGCACAACAAGGAGAGGAGAAGCAGCGGCTGAGGGAGGAAAACAGCAAGAGGATAAGGCACCTGCCGCCGCCTGGGAAAGGAGCCCCCTCCCACCCCGCGAAGCGCAGGGGCATCGCCCCCGCCGAGGAGACGGGCACGGGGGTGGCAGGCCCCCTCGCTACCCACCCGGGGGAAGCTGCAGGCGTGCTGCCCCTCCACGGCTTTCGGCTCGCCAGCCAGCTGCGCACGGTGGCATGGGCGTCTGTCCACCCCCAGGACCAGTCTGTGCCTCAAGCACGTCCATTGCCCGTGGATGCTGTGCGTTTGTCCTCTCTAGCCTCCCCACGACACCTCCCCGCACATGAGCTGAATCCGGGCAGTTACCGCTGTGGGTACACACTCACTGGCACCACTGTCCGTCTGTAAGATGTTCAGGCACATAAAAGATGTACAGCATTGCAGTACAGCCCTAACACACACCCCTACCAGTGCTGCAGCCCAGGGGACAGATTCACCGAGCTGTTCTCTCTCTCTGGGGCAGCATCCCAGTGCCCCTGAGCAATTGGTTTCCCCAGGCACTCCCCAGGGAGCAAAAGTGTGCAGGACCCAGGGATGATGAACATCCCTGGGGCAGGGATACTAGGCAAGGGGGTCCCAGTGGTCGGAGGAGGGAGCGGAAAGGACAGACGGACGCACAACAGAGCAGTATCCAGGCACTCCCAGGTGCAGAAAGCCCTGATGCCCTCATCACCCCTGCAGGCCAGTGCTGAGAGCTGTGGTAGGTCCCTGGGGATCAGCCCCATCTCCAGGGGCTGCCCCAGCTTTGCCACCCCCAGCACACTCCTTTCTCCCCAGGATCTCCAGCACTGCCTCCACTCAGGCACTGAGCCTGTACCGACCTGCAAGAGCCAACCCAAGGAAGGGGACAGAGACTTCCCCCAAGAGCAATACCTCTGTGATGGGAAGGAGCAGGACAGCACTTTGGGCAGGACCCAGTAGGGTCCCTCCTGCCTCCCTGGGGTGCCCAGCATGTATGGTCCTTTTCCCGCCTTCCATGTCCTTTCCTCAGGCAGGGAAGGGGCCCTGGCAGCCTGCCCAGGTGGGTGTGCAGGCCCCTAATAGTTCTCTGGGCTGGGGGCTGCGGTGTGCATCACTCCTGGAAGACTAGTGGGCTCTCCTTGCCCACCTGTCCTTGCGTTCAATTTAATTCCAGCGTGGCCTTTGCCTTCCCCTGATATCAGGCTTCCCCTGTGGTATAACCACACCACCGAAGCAGTAGCTCCTCGCAGCAGCTGGCTGGGAAGGGCAGGTGGAAGCAGAAGGACTGTGGAAAGGGGTCCAGAAGTTAGTGGATGCATCAGAAATCTCCAGTGCACCTGAGCGTGAGCTTGGGGAGCTGGGCCAGCAGTGATGGAGAGGACACCCGGTGTGGCCAGCCTCTTAAAATGCAGGAGATTTTTTTTTTTTTTTTAAAGCATGATTTTAAGTCAAAGTATTTTAAATATATGTGTATAGATAGAACATACAGGTATATGTATGCACAGACAGTGGCCCACTGTACACAATTATATTCATATGCACACACAGTGGCGTTTGCTCTGCGAGGTACTGGGGGTTTTTGCCTCAACTTCTGGAGAAATTTGTTGGATATTTTCAGGTTTTTCTTTACAATTCCATCAGTTGGGAAGTCTCCTTTTCTCACTGACATTTAGATTCTCCCTTCTCTGCCTCCAAAAGCTAAGGGGGGCTTGAAGATAGCAGAAGGCTCCCACCAAAATGATGGGAGGGAGCAAATCTGTGCTCACTTGAACAGCAGCATGCAAAATGCTATACAAAAGTCCAGCACCACATCCTAATAAGTGCAAAATAACACTTTCACCTGTAATTATTCCTAGTACAGCAAATAATTTTTTCAAATATTCAAAGGCAGTTTCACATTAAATATGTGAATGATATAAAATTGATCACGCTAAAATTACATGCATCCTTTCTGCTATAATGATTGATCAGATTCTCTTGTCATTATTAGTGTAAGAAGTTTTAAACTATTCTATTTCCTTCCCAGTAACTTTTAAGCACTCTTTTCCTAAAGATGAGGGATGTCATGCTTGTAAAAAAAAAAACCAACAAAAAAACAAAAACAAACCAAAAAAAAAAATCAGTGGGACACCCTGCCTCACATCAGTTACTAAGTTACTGCAACCTTGTTCCCCTAAAGAAAGTACAGTTCTACTTGACTTTGTGCTGTGTGTCCGTGCTCAAAATTAAACTGCCTGCAATCTGTTGTCTAAAATTTATTCCAGCAGAAAAACTGGATTTCATGAAACACCCATTTCTTCCTAGGAAAACATCTTATTCAATGCTGAAGTTACTAAAAATAAAATTTCAGAGCATTCCAAACTATTTTAATAAAGGTATTTTTAATTTCAGTTTCAAAACCTGATGCTTTTGCCAGATAACAAAAATCTCTTTTTCAGTCCTGAACAAACAGGCTGTCTACTTTGTGCCCAAGAACTACAACTCCTGCTTCAGGGTCTGACCCACAGCAACCCAAAGCATCCGCCACACTGACTGCAACGCTCCCGTGAGACTGGCAGAGTGGTGCTCCAGTGCTGGAAGACTCCCTGACATACCAGCTAATCCCAGTAACTCTGGCCTGGGGCAGCCTTGCAAAGTGGGTGATAGAGGCTCTGCCAGAGGGATAGGATGGAGACATTGTCCCTCATTTGCCATTTTTCTGCCTTGCTCTCTTAGCAGCGTTGTCTTTATTTTGCTTAAACGTCCCTCCCACCTATACCCTTGTGGCCAGCAGACGTGCCCAGCACCAGCCCCAAAGCAAGCAGCAGCATCTGCCTTGGTGGGTATTTTAATGAGCAACAAAGTGGTCTCACAGGTGATACCTCCAGCCTCCAAGAGCCTCAGCGTAGGCAGGAGGAGCACCAACACTGAGACCTGTGGGCAAATCCTCCCACCTCCCAAAGGCCAAACAGCCCTGGAAAAATAAGTTTACAAACCTAAGGCACTGCTGGGGAGAACTAGGAAACAGCACCTGCTGTGATGCAGCCTGGCAAGAAACCTAAAGTCACAGCATCCTTTACCATAGTATTCTTTCCATTAGTTAAAAGGGTTAATTTTGAAAGGAATGACATTCAGGCCATCTGGAGGACTGATTTTATGAATGCCCTGAGGAAACAATTTCTTGCTCTCAGCAGTAACGACAAGGGCTACGCTGCTCTGATCACCCTAGAAGTGGCTGGAAACTTGATGTGTTTGCCCTAATGCCATTTGTTTCAGAACAGAACAGGAGAGGACAATCTTTTTAAGAAGCAAGTGAATTATCAGGATAAGGAAATTGAGCCGGTTTCGACCTCTTTCGCTGATTCTGGAAAATAAACCCAGAAGGTACTGTTTAGTGCTCAAGAGGGTCTAAAAAAAAGTTTTCTTATTTTCAAAAAAAACTCGAGGCTTGCGATTGCATCTCCCCCACACCCTTGTCATCCTGCTCTTCCCCAGCCCGGTGAGGGTTATCTGCCAGACCTGGGGAAGATGGAGAAGGAAAGCAGGCCCTCCGCTTAGGGATGCCACAGCCCTCGCACCCTCTCCCGTCAGGGCTTCACCCATCAGGACCCGCCTGTGATGGCTGTCCACGCCGCCACTGGGGAGCAGCAGAAGGCTGCAGGAAAGCCCTGCCTTGCTGTCCTGCTCTTCCCAGGCTCTGCGAGTTATCCCTGAGCCTTGGCGAGAACAGGGAAGGAACTCGGGACCTCCACTTGCAGATGCCATAGCTCACACCCGGCCTTACAGCACCCTTGTCGCACATCCCACCTTCCAGCCTCACAGGCTGCCACCAAACCCTGCTCAAAGCTTCCCTGCACCCTCGCTGAGGAAGTGGGACAAGGCGATACAGACTCTGCTAGGAGGCCAAGCCCAGGTTTAGCCCAGGACAGGATGATGGGGGGGGGGGGGGGGGGGGCACACCCCCCCCCGGTCTTCTGGTAGACGCACCAGCGCTTTGGCCCGGGAGGAGGGGATGGGGGGGGGGGGGGGGGAAGTCTCCTACCCCTGGTAGCTCTGACCTGGCTCTGGGGCTCTGATCCTTCCACCTCGGGAGCAGGAAGGAAAATCACTGTCAGCCCACCCCAACAGGGCAGAAGCATCTCCCCAGGGTCGCAGGCATGCAGGTCTCTCTGGGGGATAGCTGTGCTAGCAGGACATTAGGGGCCTCCCACTTGGTGACACACACACTCATGTACATACACACATATAGACAGATGCATATATAGATTCACACACACTGATATGGATGTTGAAGGATTGTTTCCAGTCCTTTGATACCCTGCTCCACTGAGGTGTCTCCCGCCAGGCAGGTCCATGAGGTCAGTTTATCCCGGACCCAGTATTTAAAGCAACATGAAGTGCTGCTGTCTCCCCTTGCTGCAAGTTATGGCCAAGAGCATGGGAAGATGGGCAACCCACCCATGAGCAGCTGAGCGTCTCTTGCATGGATGGGTGAGATTGCCTGCAAAGATTAAGCAACGCTGTGGCTGGATAAGGGGCAGCGTTCACTGCTGCTTATAATGACCACAGATTGAATTCATCATTATGGATGTCTTGCCAGCTCTCGTGGGCAGTGGCTGACCCTTCACTGTCTCCTCTGGCCTCATCTCTGTGCCCCATCGTGCTGTCTGGCACAGTGCCTACACTCTTCACAGCAGCCACACACACTTCTTGCTCGCCCCTCCAGCCAGTCCTGCTTTCAGCCAAGCTGCCACCTCACACCAACATGTTTCTGCCCTTCGTGACCAGGACCTGGCAGGTCCAGGTGGGACCAGGAAACTTGGAGGCTCCTTACCCCAGAATAACCAGCTGGCCACACCTTGCTATTCCCCAAAGAGAAGTAAAACTCTTCGCAAAAAAAAATGTCAGGGGTGTTGCTTTCTAGTCTGTTTTTTCATCCTCTACTTAATAGCTCCAAGTTCCTCCTAGCCCATACCCCATCTCTGGTTCTGTATTCAACACGCAGAGTGAACACCCTTGGCAAAGATGCATTCTCACTGTGTCCCTTGGCCAAGCTCATTATCTAACAGAGTAAAAACCTTTTCATGAGAAAAGGTCCTCCTCTTCCAGAAGCAGC